ATTACTGTTTCTCTTTTTTGTGCAAATTTTTATTTAAAAACGAGTTACATCTTATTTAACATTTTATTAAAACTTACGTCTCTGGTGTTTTTCCTGTTTTAAATATCTTTGTTCTCTACTTAATAGTTACATAAATGTTTTTTATGATAAACTGGTGAATTTTAGTTTCTGTGTAATAGCAGTATGATTGAGTTCTGATTAGCATCTCCAAGATTTCCTCTGCTTTACAAAAAGCATTGCTCTTTTGAAAATTGAAGTTTAGGGTTAGGGCTTTCCTGTAGTCTTCTGATGACAAACTTGTGCAAAAAGTTCTGCTGCAACAAAAGATAATTTTGGTGGACTTAAATAATGGCTGAATTTGATCTTTGTAGGAGTTGATTGATTATGCTTTGATTTTTCTCAAACAGTGTAACTTAAAAAACTGCTAATACTGTAGTTTGTTGTTGGTTCTCCTTGTTCTCCAGATGCCTCCTCCCAATCAGCAGCCATCCCCAGGTCAACCGTTTCCATTGTCAACCGTTAGAGAAGAATCTTCCATTCCTAGAGCACATTCTGACAAGAAATGGGTCTACCCTTCAGAGCAAATGTTCTGGAATGCTATGCTAAGAAAAGGGTAAATGCACTGTGAATTATCGATATGTTGTGAGCCTGGAATTCATGAACTAGTATTGTTAGTTAATATTCTTTTTTTGAGAGAGTTTGTGGATTTTAACCAGTAAATAATAAAGTAGCTCTTTTCTTAAAAGTGCTATTTTTATAAACATCTTTGTTTTAAAGGGTGAGTTGGTCTCAAAGGCCATGTGTCTCCTAGTGATCAGGAGGATGGTAAAAAATGTGAAGCAACTGCTACTGGCTCAGAAATTTTTCTTAAAAGTCCATGCACAGGTATAGACAAAGTTTGCATGGTTGCCAACTTTCAAACTCAGTTGGTTTCATGCTAATGCTGTAAAATTATAGTTGAAGTTCTATGTGAGAACGTCTAACTTTGCAGAATTGCTGAAAATGGGGAAATCTGCAAGTAGATATTTTTGGTATTTGCAAAAATTTACTGTGGGCAAGACTCCTGTGCTGATGCTTTCTTCTTCTTTTGTAATGATTTGTTTGTCATTTATAGGTAGTTTACTTTTGGAGCAATAGTAATTCTTTTTTCTGTGTGTTGATATGGCTCATAACACAATATGACATAAGCAGCCTGTATGGAACATACAAGTTTTGGCCCTGTAAACACTGAAATGTGTTAATGTTATGCCAGTTGAAAAGGAAACACACCTGCAGTCAAAGTGCAGTGTCAAGAGAGATGAAAAGTATTTGTTAGTGTTTGCAAAATGTATTGAATACAGGACTTCTCTGCATTAGGAATGCAAGTGGGATTTTTCCTAAGCATTTTTATGAATACTGTGGATGTGGTGATGTTTGCACACTCTGATAAATTTCTGATCCAGTTAAGCTGTTAATTTAGCTATGTAGAATTTGTGGATCTCTGGATGATAAGTTGGATAACTACACTTCTGCACAGAAAATGAAGTGATTCTCAAGATGCTTAAACAGACGAGCCAGAAGTCTGTGAACTTGTCTTGTATCTTGCATACAACCTTAAATCTCAATTCAAAAGTTCATCAGATAAACAGAGGAAATTTGAATAGTTATGCTGTAATGTTTATAAACTGTTTTCAAGTTCCTATTTTTTAGGTGGAGGTGGAAAGATGATGACATAACAAGTGAAGACATGACCAACATTATTAAGATTCATAATCAAAATAATGAACAAGCTTGGAAAGAGATTTTGAAGTGGGAAGCTCTACATGCTGTGTATGTACCTATGAAATGTTGCATACGGACTATTTGTTATGACAAAGACATGAGTTGGAAATTTAGATTAGCATGACTGGTGTAAAGCAAACTGTTACTTTTTAGGACAGCATAGTCCCTGTTCCTACAAGACACAGACTAGTTAAGCATTTGGTATTAAAAATTTTTTCTCTGAAATTCCATGATCTTTTTACACAGTAGTTTGGATTATGGTTTCCTGTTCTTTAATCTGTTCAGTCTGGGGATTAGATTCGCAGAGAACTGCTTTGTTGGCAAATCAGAACAATGGTGTGGAGCATATCAGAGATACTTTATCCTACCAGCAGCAAGTGCTGGCAGAAACTGGGTGACTTTTCCAAACTTTAAAAAAGGAAAAAAGTTGATTGATATAACTTGTAATTAATTTTTTACTGTTGCTTTCTTCTACTCAGTTTCTCTGTTGCTAAAACAAATTACCATAGTGGTTTAATCACTGAAAATAAGACTGTGTTAAAAGGTAAAAACTATTTTCCTTTTCAATTGTGTGCACAGGGAATGTCCATGTGGGCCAGCACTGATGCGGTTTGGAGGCAAAGCAAAGGAGTACTCACCAAGAGCCAGGATACGTTCATGGATGGGGTATGTGGGCAGGGAAGAACATCTTCAGTGAGATGGGAGGCTAGAGAAACGTGTCTGGGAAAATGGTGTAGAATTAAATTTAAAGATGTTTCAGAACTGCTATTGCAAGTTAGAATTGCCAGAAGATAGAAGTACTTATGGGATCTTACGGACATAGCAATCTTGAATTAGAGTTGCTCTCGCAGGTTGATAAGATCCATTAAAATCTCCGTGGGCTGTTCCCTGTCCGCGCAGGTACGAGCTGCCCTTCGATCGCCATGACTGGATCGTTGACCGCTGTGGGAAGGAGGTGCGCTATGTGATTGATTACTACGACGGCGGAGCAGTGGATAAGAACTACCAGTTCACCATCCTGGACGTGCGCCCCGCGCTGGACTCGCTCTCGGCCGTGTGGGACAGAGTGAAGGTGGCCTGGTGGCGCTGGACCTCGTGACTGCTCCTGTGGTGTGTACTCGGAAAGTTACTGCTTCCCACTAAGACAGTGGATGTGGGAATATTGGGACTTGAGACAGAAGTTCACTGCAGCTGTCATTGCTTTCAGCATCACCACTGTTCTTTTGGGGTGAGAAGGGAGGACAGAGAAATGCCTTGTTAAGTACCCCAATGCTTTGTGGTGTTTCAAATGGAATAATAAAGTTACATTAGCAAAAACATGTATCTTAATTTTCTTAAGAACTGGGAAGCCTTTCTTACTTTGTCTCAGTTTCCGTGTAAGCTCGCCTTCTTTGCGGTTCATTACTTCAGTGCTGCTCCAAATACATTGCAATTCTGATTCTGACTGGAGTTTTGACTATTACTTCATTAGTGAAAACTGGAAATTTCATAAATTGTTTCACATGTTTAAAATATTTGGATACCTCTGTGATGAACAAAGGGTAAAAGATCTGGACTCTTTCAAATACATGTTTTATTTACACTATAAAACTATGTATTTGTTTTGTCATGGACATTTTACCTATTCAGATACATATTTCTCAACTTCAGTTAATCAATTAAAGGAGGTGCAGTGTGGTATGAGTATTTTAAAGGTATATTTCCTTTATTCTGTAGAAAAGGAGAATATACTGCCTCAATCTGCAGTTTTTCCTTGAGCAGAAGAACATGTTAGAAGCAGGAAATGGGTATGACTTTTTAAACAGCATTTCTAAAAGGACATAAAATTGATATTTAATGGCTATTTATTTGAATATTTAAAAGGTGGTTTTCTGATGTAAGAAAATGCATTATTACAGTATTTTCATGTCTGTAATGTGTGTCATGTAATGAATTCAGGACAGAGCTAAGCCTTATTTTAAAAACCTCCTGTAGTGTATCTGTATTTGGCATCCTGGCTGCATTAATGATATTTTTTACAGCATGGTTTTTTATATAACAAGGAGTTGCACAAGGGGGTGTGACTACACAGTCACATGTGAGGATAGTGAGATGTATTACAGGTGTGTACATAACTGGCTAAAAGAGTATCAGAACTGCCAAGGGAGAAGGTTGATTGGAATGTTCTGTAAGAGCAATGCATGGCATAAAGATTTGATTATTGTTTGTGCTTAGTAGGGGGAACTAACTTCTTTATGTCTTCCACTGTAATAGCTTTAAGTTTGCACAACTCAGTAAGTCTCAGGTGCTGTGCAAAATACTTGGGAATGGAAAGGAATAAGAGCATAGCACATTGCAGCTTCTCAAATGGGGGAAGCTGCCTTCTTGAAATTCCCCAACTTTAACGGGGAACTAGCTGTACATTTCACTTTCTGTAAGTGGCCTATGTTTAACTGACATTGGAACCTTTGTTTTGCTTTGTTTTTGGATTTATGGGAAGCCCCTCTTAATGTTTCAGGAAAATCACTTCCCATTTAGGGAAAAATTAGTCAGGGAAGCTTTCCAACTTAGAATTCTAATGATAACTAATAGTTCCCACTTCAGAGACAACTGTTGTGCATGGTAAAATAAATATTATCCAGAATCCTAAGAGGAAAACCATGCTCTTACCCATATCTACTTTGCTAATTCCTTTTTTACCTTTTCAGTGATTCACATATAAGATAAATGAAAAGTGAGTTTGTATAAAGCATATCTGACTCATGAAGGACATGAAGGAACTGCTCTGTTCTAACAGTAAAGATTAGGAGTGCTCTTTTTGGGGTGGTGGGTTTTTGTTTGGTATTTTTTTTTGTAGCTGTTGGTTTATGCATTTGAAAATTTGCTACACTGAGGATTCTGTATTTCTGAACTAAATATGGAAAGGCTACATCACTGCAGGGAGTACTTCAGAAGCTTCAAAAGCACGAGTTTGCTTTGTTGATTTCAGCAGTGTGATGTTGAGAGCATGGAAATTGTAATTGCTGCTAAATGTGGGGAAACTCACAAGCCACTTGGTGTGCTTACTGTCTCCTGTTACTTTCCATCTTCCACAGATTCAAAATTGTTCTTTTCTGTGCTACTGTTAATGAAATGTACTACTTTGTCATCAAACTAAAAGGAGAATCAAATAAATATACTTTTCTTAACTTTGGTATTTGGTGATCATGCTTTTAGCTGTAAGAATTATTAAAATGAGCTTTTGCATATGTCATATGAGATTCTAGTCTGTTATAACTAAAATCTTACTGTGGAGTATATATTTGATATTGTTACTGTGTATTTTATATTACTACAACTTCATGTCTTTGAATATATACTTAGTAATTTTTCAGGTGAATACAGACCCAAAACCCAAGGACTAAATATGCATCAATAAATACATTTATATCTTTCTTTGTAAGTATAGGAAGGTATGGAGAGTTCATGGAGCCCAAGAAAGTGAAGTATCCCGATCAAGTCCTCTCAGCGAATTCTGCAGTGACATCAGGTTCCCAATCCTGGTCAGGCTGAACAGAATTTGTAACCCAACATCTCAAACCAAGGTTAACCTTGTGCACGTTTCAAAGGGAAAATGCAAACACTCACTAAAGAAAGGCTGCTTCTCCAATTAGTTCTGTATTTAGATATCTAAAGTTCACCTGTGTTGTAATTTACTGTATCAAAGCCCTTCTTGACCTATTTTGTTTGACTCTTGCAGATGAAACAAGTTAGGCGTGCCCCACTGGCCTGCCCTGAAGATGTGTTCTAAGGATGTTGCAGTTCCCAGAAACTGCACGCTTTGGGACTGGTGGAATAGGACTCCAGCATAACATTCCTAACTGTAAGCAGGCCTTGGGTCATGCACATGCAGTCAGGAGTGGTTCTGATCTTTATTTCCTGGAGCAGGAAGCCATTCTGTGTTCAGGTATGGGTTTTGGCAGCTTGCAGCTGTGTCACTTCAGGCTGCAGTGGCTCCCCTGCACTTGGGTGTCTGGCACAGGTACCAGCCTAGTACAGGGGCACCAGACTGGTGCTGTGCCTCCAACACCTCGCTGCTCAGTCACGAGGAACCAGCTCTCTGCTTTACTGCAGTTTGTCCTGTTAGTATCTGGCCAACGTGAGTGCTTTGTAACTGGGGAGTAATTCAGAGGCTGATCTTTCTGGGATGCCTGGAGTTCCTGAGTCTCTTGAGTCATCCTGTAACATTTTGCTCTTGCAGGCAGTTTAGAAGGGGGAGCTGTAGTTCTTCTGTCACTCCTCATTTGTTTTTTCCCCTGTCCCCTAGAAACACCTTTGCTCCTGCTTTTCACACTAGGCTCATAGTCCTAGCTTCAATTGCTCTAAGAATTTTTCAGCTAAGCCTTGAAATTTCTGCCCTGCTTTGCTGTAAAAGGAAGGGATTGTGTTGCTGTAAGAAGATAGTTGTGTTCTTTGTTGATTATTGCTACTTTCTACTGCCAAAGTAGTGTTCTGGATTACCCTTTTTGAATTACGAGGTGAAAGACGCATGCTAGTTCAGTGTGAAATTCTGTCTAGTGTTTACATAATGTATTTACCGTCAGGACTTTAATGTGCTCTGTAAACTGGAAGTCTCAAATGTGCTGATGAATACTGTTCTGCTTTCAAACGGTGTGAGAGTGGCAAAGGACCTCTCAGTGCTCTGAAAATGGTCTTAAATAGTCTATCATCTTATGCACTCCCATTGTGTTTGTTCTGCTCTTATATCAAAGTGTGGGGGAAGAGTAGCTAATGTGCCAAATTGCAAAAGTTGAAGGCAGATACATTGCTGTAGCTCAGCAGCTAAAAATGACCTGGCAGACTAAAAAGCACTGCCTAATATTAGGACTCTTAAGAAAGTTTGTTTTTTATATAGGGTAGAAATGCCTCTTTCAGAACCATCACTTTTTAAAGACATCTGTTCCCAACACTTAGGAAAGATATGGCATGCTAATCCTCCTGTGCTTATGCCTGGAGGAGAATCCATGTAGTAATGTTCCACAAGCCACTGTATTTGATACTACTCGGTGCTAGATGTGCTTATCTCTTCAGTATCATACCCTTCCCTACCCACAAGTATCTTTACATATGTTCTTTTTAAAAATGCACGGGGTTGCTAGCTTTTTACAAATGTTTAGTAGGCAACTTCATGCAATTTTACTCTCACTGAAAGAAGATATATTCTATTTATTATTCTACCTTTGTACAAGGTAAATTGCATGCAAAGATCTTTATGCAGTGAATCAAGTAAGTATTGATTCTCTCATCAATGTTGGTATTAGTAATCTATGTTCATAGATATGTCAGGTCATAAAAAGCAACCTTTTTAGTTTGCATTAGATGGCTAATCACTTTTATGTGCTTTTCCTTCAAGAAAAAATGGCTTGTCAAACTCCTAAAGGAAGAATCTTATATTGTTTTATGAATGTGACAGTTACATCTATTTGGTCTTACTACTTGTACATCACATTGTATAGAAATTTCTGGGCAGAGTACTCTGGGGCCTTGAGCATGTGTGAAATGACATGTTATTACCAGGGAGCCACTGATTCCCATGGCAGCCCCCCACAATACAGCCTGCATATTTGCAGTGTGGGTACATATTTTTGACTGGAGTCTGAATAAATCCAATTATCAAAGGATTATGTACATTTATTGGAAGTATTAGGATAGTTATTAGGCTTCATTAAGAAAATTTAAAAGATTAGATTATTTCTTTTGCTGACATTCAGTTTGGGCCATGGCCTCTCTCACAAAATAGAAACAATCACATTTGTTTTCTACATATTATGGCAAAAAAAGACTGTCATGTTTTTGGTTTTCCAATGTTTTGCCAATTTTGTGGTAACTACAGAAAGTTTTAGCTATTTTGCTAACATGCTGCTGTTCTTGCCTCCAGCTTCTGAAGACTATGACCCCATAAACCTCCTGTCTGCAGAGATAGCTAATGCTTTAATTGATCATTAGTACACTTTCAAAATGAGTTTCCATCTGCCAAAAGATTAAGTGTCTCAGGGAATTGACTTAGAGCAGTTTGATGCATGGAGGATAAATGCAAGTGCCTTTAAAAAGCACTGTTAGATCACAAATCCTTGAAAAACTTGCTTCTAAAATACTTACAAGGAAAAGTAATAGAAAAGGTTTTTCTTCTGTTTTGTTTTTCCCTCAAATTAAGTCTTCTTTTTTATATAAATGAGAATTCGTTACCTCATTTTCAAGAACTGAAAAGCAAAACCTCATGAAAATGCTGAATTTAACCTTACAGCAAACTATGCAACTTTTGGCAGCTTTAATTTGCAATGTAAATTTTTTGTTAAATCGGTTTATTTCAACTGTAAAAAAAGCACAGAAAAGAAAAAGAAAACTTTTCCACTAGCTGTACTTAAGAATACTGGGGGAAAAATACTTCCCTATTTTATCGTGTATTTTCACAATTACTGGGGTTGCTTCTCTGTGTTTTCTTCAAGCTTTTGCCTCTTAGTTTATTTGGAGAGATTTTTACAGATTTTCTGTTGGTTTCTCTCTGCCATTTTTGTACAAGCCACTTTGGGTAAGATTTCTACCATTGCAATAACACTTTCAGTTGTTCTGAGAGAAATGGTGGCTTCTTTCTCAGGTCTGTGAAAAAGGTGTGATTTAACTCGGGTAAGGGCAGCTCTGGCTGGTAAGAATGCCATTCTGGCTGCATTAGAGCTGGCAGCACTGTTGTATCAGAAAATATGGGCACTACAGCTGTCCTGCAGCAGTGCCCAAAGGCAGAGGTGGTTTGTGTTGCACTAGTCAGCTGTCACCTTCGCTGTGGTTGAGGATTCCTCATTAGTGTAGGTCTTGTGAGCCCCAAATGGGCAACTGCAGCGACTTCTAGATTTCCTAGTGGTCCTTTAATGCCTTCTGGAGGATGTGCTTTTAGCACCGCCTGCAGTTACGATCAAGGAGGTGGCAAAGGGGCTGCCGTGGAATTGACAATACAGAGATACAGATGGATGCTCCAAATGTCTGTCCACTCCTCTGATTTGCCACTCAGGCTGGGGAAAAAACAGTCTAAATGCACCATTTTATGTATAGTCACTAGTGGTTGTTGAAACAACACCTAATTGAGGTTGTAATTACAGGGAGTGGAAGGATACTGCTTTTGCAAGTAACACTGGCAAAAGATTTTGGAAGATTAATCTAACCTATGTATGAAAGGCTGCATTCTGTTTGCCTTGTCAGGCAAAGTGGAAGATTCTGGTGGCACAATCGTTTTGTGACAGATGTTGGAGCTGGTTTAATATAGGCTGACTAAAAAGTGAGACTTTTCTTTTTAAACTTTATTTGCCATGTTGATGGGGAAGTATCCATTTAGAGAATATGCCTAAACTTCTATCAAACACTTCAATACTTGAAGAAATAAAGAAAGAGAGGAAATAAGATCTTGACTTTCAATTTCATAATAATGCAGTATGAAGGCCAGATTGTAACTGTAAATGTTCATTTCAAATTTAAATATTTAGCATTTTCAGTTGTCTGTGAATACACAAAAATTTATTACATTAAGATGGAATTTAGATCTTTGACATGAAGCTGATATTTTCATAGAGTGAAAAATATCAAGCTGACATTATACTGTCTCATTTGATGACTTCCAAATGTCAGAGTCCAGTAACTTATTCATAGGGACCTCCATGTCTTGTGATAGTGTCAAGTCAAAAGACATTTACATCGACTTTCTTATTTAAACATGTAAAATGGAATATGCAAAGTAGCAGAGAAGAAGGGAGAAAGACCAGGGTAAGGAAGTCCTTAATAATGGAATGGAGGCACTTCTAAGGCTAATTTCCACTACAGCCTTCTTTTTGACAGTGGCCTGACTGTGCTGTTCCCTTCCAGCATCTTCCTTCCCCCCTGCTCAGTCACCAGTTCTTGTTATTTCAACACAAGTTAAGGGGTTAGAAATAGCAGGATATGCTCTCCTGAAAAGTACCCCCCCGCCCCAGCCCTGGCTTTTAAAAGTGATTTTGTAGTAATAGAAGGCACTGGATGATTTTGCCTGGGAGTTAATTGATGCCTATATAACTTAGATCAAAGTTCCAAGATGCTTATATAGCTTGAGTTATAAGATATCACTATAACCTGATGCATCTATATAACCTGATACCTATATAACTTGAATCATAGCTTTTTATACCTGAATCATAGCTTCTTATACCTATATAACCTGATATAAATAGCCATTACATTGTATAAAAGGTTAGTATATGGTTAACTACTTGCTTAATGCTGAATAGACAAAAAAAAAAGAGGAAAAACTCGCCAGGTCGATAGCTGTAGAGATCGGTAAGTATAGTACTAATGAAAAATTGGCAAGTGCAAAGCCAATTAGCCACAAAACCAAGAATTTAGGCCGGTTAAGACCAGACAGACCAGGGAACACTGTAAATGTACATGCTCCAAAGACAAAGTTGAAAAGTTCAGATGCAGAGAAGATCTTGGAAGCCTTCATCAAAGACCCCCCGAACTGGGGAGGTGCAAGCACAGCGCAAAAGAACTATCCAATAACCATGAGCTCATACTGTGTAAATTAGTTCTGGCGTGTATGTGATGATGTTGTAGTGACATAGGAACACTAAGCAATACTTACTGTATAAATATACCACAGCACCTGACAGACGTGGGTGAGTTAGGCGGAGATATCCCCGACATGACCAGTTCTGCAATAAACAAATACCTGTTCTATAGACACTGCTCTATGGGGATTTATTTCCAGCCTAGCTTTTGGCCATCGTAATGGAACTGTTGGCAGTGCACAACCTCGGTGTGAGGGCTGGTAACGGGATTGCGAAGCCACAGCAGTTGATGATAAGAAACATTATTTTATATTCTAGTACCTCTTTGTGCACGGGCATGTGCGGCTGCAGTCCCGGGGGTCGTGTACAGCCCGAGGGAGCC